CCCCAAAACCCCAAAACCCCATGATTGAATATGGATCTGTAAATTAATTAGATTGAAATCATCGGCTTTTTATCGGCATTTAAAAATATTATTCTTGATTGATAAGGAATACTATTCAAGGGATCTGTTCAAATATCATCTGATTGAACTTTAGAGACATTCTCAGCAGTGTTGATATTTGGTCTAGTCATAGATCTTGGTGAAGCTATTGAGGATCCGAAATCTCTTCTCATCTTTTCATAGATTTCTTCTCCTACTCCACCCATCTCAGCAATATCAAGACCAATGATTTCAATTGCTTTGTCAATTCTCAATAATCCAAGTCTTTTCATTGTGTAAAAGAACAATGAACTAGTTGTTCCTACCCAAGCAATAACACAAACGATGGCAAGTATTTGATAGCCGAAATATTGACCTTTGGTTGGAGAATCGTAAAATAATCCGTTCTGATTATCAAAGAATCCAGTGGCAAGTGTGCCCCAAACTCCTCCAAAGAAATGTACTGGTGCAGCTTCAACTGGGTCATCAACATGCAACATATCTAAGATTTTGCAACCAGCAACGTAGAATAAGGCTCCAATACACCCTATAATGAAAGCAGCCCATGGCTCAACTCTATCACAGCAACCAGTAATAGACACTAAACCTATCAAAGCACCATTGCAGAGAGCACCACAATCATATCTATTTACGAATGAATAAGTACCTAGAAGACGAGCCTTCACGAAAACTGCAACTACACCTCCTGCTGATCCTGAAATAACAGTGTTCATGATGATCTTAGCTGGTCCATTAGCTCTAGGGACGAACAAGTTGTTGGTACTTCCACCATTGAAGAACAGCCATGCAACCCATAAAATAAGAGTTCCAGTAACTACATAAGTTTGGTTGTGTGGTCTGAATTCATCAGATTGATTTACTAACCATTCCTTAAATGCTTGATGATAGTCCTTATTAACATGATTGATGACTTTTTAATAGTGATGTGAGTTATCAAAGTTTACACTCTATCTCCTATTCATTTCTCCTTCTCTCTGTTTTGCTTCTCTATCTTTTTCTTTTCCATACCTCTCTCCTAAAATTGCTGCTCCGCAGAATCCTGCACATCCACCAACAAGATGAATAGTAGTAACACCAGCGAAGTCATGGAAGCCTCTTTGTTGAAGCCAGCCACCACCCCATGTCCAGGCAACAACAACTGGATAAATAAAACCTGTTTGGAGGAATGAGAACATAATATATGAGTTAAGTTATGTCCTTTCAGCGAGTGATCCAGAGACTATAGTGGCTGAAGTTGAGGCAAAGGCAAAGTGGAATATCCACAGGAGATAATGGTCCTCTGGTGTGTTTTCAAATCCTGAGGAAGCGAAGTAATCTGGACTACCTCCAATGAATGACTTTACATCCCCAAAGGCAAAACCATACCCAACAAGCCAAAATGCGATTGATCCCACGCATGCATCAAATAGGTTCTTAATAAGAATACTGGTTGAGTTCTTGGCTCTAACTGAACCACATTCTAACAAGGCAAATCCTGCCTACATAAAGAAAATCATAGCTGTAGAGACTAGCACCCAAACGGCGTTAATAGCCTCACGCTCTGAGTATACTACATTAGAGTAAGGTCCTGGCATTTTATATAATGATTATATATCTGACTGATTAGATAGTTTATAATATATACAGGATATTATTTATTATATATTAAATAAATCAAGCTATCTGATTTCTTTTAACTATTGAAAACGTAGTGAAATTAATATATTTGATAATTTTATCAAGGTCTTCAATCCAGGCCGAATTTGCTAGTCTCGTGATCGGCCTTTAGATTTTTGCTAAATACCACTCTTTGCTTGACTTATTCTTCATTGTCTTTATTTATGGATTCAGTTAAAAGATCATCAACCATACTTCTTTTAACGCCTCTATTAAATGATTGCATTGGAGACTAGTTTGGAGTAAGGAAGCCAAAGTCTTTTCTTAGTTTTGCATAAACTTCTTCTGGAACTCCTCCTAGCTCTGAAATATCAAGTCCAACTACTTCAATCTCCTTTGGAACTCTTAGTAAGTTAAACTTCTTCATGGTCAAAAAGAAGGGAGCGACTATTAAAGAAACCCAGCAAGCTATAGCGATTGCTCCTAGTAATTAGAGACCAAATTACTTTATACCAGCTTATGCATCATAGAATAAACCTACTTCATTGTTAAAGAAGCTAACTGCCATAACACCCCAAGTTCCTCCGCCCAGATGAACAGCAGAAGCTTCAAGTGGATCATCAATATTGAATTTTTGTAGTAGCAAGCAGCCAACTGAATAAAAAGTAGATCCGATAGTTCCAATCAAAAAGGCAGACCAGACTTCTATTTTATCACAAGATGCTGTGCATGATACTAATCCAACTATAATACCATTGCAGATTGTGCCTGGGTCATACTGAGAAACAAAAGAGTAAGTACCACAAATTCTAGGCTTGAAAAACACAGCGAATAAACCTCCAGCAGCTGCTGAGATAACATTGCACATAATAACCTTGGCTGGAGCATTTTTGCGTGGACTGAATATAACAGCGCTACCTCCATTAAAGAAGAGCCAGCAAACCCAAAGCAAAAGTGTACCAGTTACTATTAAGGCAGGGTTGTGAGGTTTGAATTCTGGTTATTGAGTTGAAATCCATTCTTTGAATGCCTCTCTATAATCTCCCTTGACATGCTATAAAACCTCCTAGAATTCATGATCATTCCAGGAAATGCTATTTCTACCAGCAGGACCTACGTAATGATCAACATTGCCCAAGCTGCCCTCGCTCCTCATCTTTTCTACTCTTCTCATTTTTTCTCTTCCATATCTCTCTCCTAGAATTTTAGCACCCCAGACAGCGCAAACTCCTCCAACCATATGTACTACCCCTGAGCCTGCGAAATCTATAAAGCCGATATTTTTAAGCCATCCAGTTCCCCAACTTTAGTCAGCCCAAATCCAAGAGACAACGACTGGATATATGAAGCTAGTCATTAAGAATGAGAAACACAAATAGGTAGCTAATTAGCATCTTTCAGCAAGAGCACCTGATACTATAGTAGCTGATGTTGCAGCAAAGGAATATTAGAAAATGAACCATTTGTAGTTGTCTGTCTCCAATTCCTTGAAATTGCTTGATGCGAAATAATCACTTCCAAAGCCAATCACATACTTTACGTCTCCGAAAGCGAAAGCATAGCCAACAAGCCAAAATCCTATACATCCAATAGCAGAATCACACAGATTCTTAATCAAAATGCTCTGGGCGTTCTTTGCTCTTACACTTCCTACCTCTACTAAGGCAAATCCACTCTACATGAAGAATATCATAGCAGTAGAGACTAAAGTCCACACAATTTCGATGGCGTCTTTCGTTGAGTATATTTAATCCTCATAATTCTAGCCAGTCATACTTGTATTTTCTTTGATAAATATTGAGTATTCTTTATAATTATAATCTAAATCAATATTAATTATCTGATATTATAACAATTAATTATTATATCATATTTTATACATAATTAAATTCAGATTAAATCATGAGAAAGACTAATAAAACTTAGTCCAAAAGACAATAAAGTCAAAGAACCCCCTCTGTTTAGAAAACAATGAATAAAGCATAAAGAGATTATCTTGATACTAAGATTGATCTAATCATGAGAGATTAGAATAAAAATCATTAGCAAGCTGAATAGTAATAATAAAAACAAACACAGTACTCTAATATGATAAGTATTATACAAACCTAGATAAATAACTTTTTTATTTAGAGCATCAGCAAAGTAGATCTCAAATATCGTATAATCCAAGTGAAATGGATATGCTTGCATCAAGGTACAGATTGACTGAAACACCAATGAGATACACTAACCATCACAAAAGAAAACCTTTGGATTCTCTTACTACTACAAAGTATTAGTACCCATAAGTTGTCAAGTCAAGCCAGTTCAGACAAGATTATAAGGAGGAAAAACCAATTCCAAAAGAAATCTTTAATCTCGAGAGAGAACACAGAATAATAAATCCTCATAAAATGCAATTACTGACAATGACTTAAACAGACTTCAAACCATTTGTTGCTCCACCAAGAGTAAAGACTCCTAAAGAGGGATTTATGACTAATGCTCCCTCTACTATAAAGTCAGACTACAAAGTAAACCTCACTTGATTGTTTTTAATTATTGTAGAGTGATTACCCTGACTGGGGAGCAAATCCTATTTTCAGAGAAAAAAGGCCATAATACCCATTTTATGCTTTATAATTTAAAGGTAACACTTCTTACAAAGATGGGTTCCAAAAAAAAGAGAAGACTAAGACTGTCTAAGATTAAATGAGGGAGACATCGAATTCAAGAATGTCTCGAATAAAGTAAATTTCTCATTATTTTCATTAGCTTAGAATTTAAACATATGTGCCAGCTTAATTTACATTCTAAACTTCAATGTAGTCAGATTATCAACCATTCACTGTTAAGTCAGTACACATAAAGCAAAGCCTTTTAGAGAAGCAGATGTGCAAACCTAAATCATCGATTGATGTCAGAGATTCGAGGAAAAGCAAGACTCCGCAGATACATTATACTACTACTCAAAAGTTAAATTATACAAAACATAACTACAAGCCACCATAGGTGGATTATATTCCTTATCCTTGATTTCTTTATCAGCTTACAAAAATTAATCAAATTTTTTATTAAAATTTCAATGAACGGGGTTTTGGGGTTTTGGGGTTTTGGGGTTTTGGGG